TATGCCGATTGTATTTATGATAAAGGCAGGTGCAGTTTTTACTTCTGCCAAACGCTTATGCTGGGTAATGAGTGCTGAATTCCTTCCGGACTGTTCAGTTGCCCAGTTTCTTTGAAATGTCTTTCTAAAATGTACGATTAAGTAAACTCTTCCCTCCCACCGTATTCCCACACTTCCCTCCTCCCCAGACCATCACATGCATTTAAAAAGCTCCTCTCTCCTGGCCATGTAACAAAGTTAGAAGTGGGGGGTGGCAGAGGCAGATTTAGAGCAGCACAACCAGTTCTGCCGCACTGGGCGCTGAGCCTAGAGGGTGCTGCAGGGTACTGCAACTATGACATAGTGAATTGAGCAAAATGGAAGATGAGAAGCAGGGATTGCCGAATTTTTGCCTTGCACAGGGTGCAGCTGAAATTTGAAAGACTGAAGTCCACCCCTGGGATAGCGGGCAACCAACTGTGCCTAGTTAAATCTGTGTGTTGATTCCTGTGTTGAGGTTTGCATTATTCAGCAGTGTAATTTTTATCTTTTTTTATAAGAAAATCAAAATAATTGTGCTCTTTTTGTTTTCTTTTGTTTCATTCCATGTCTGGTCACAAAGCATTGCTCACAGAGAGATGTGCAGGAAGCCACAAAGTTTTTGTCGTTAAGGCACTCCTACAAAACTGTTTCTAGGGGTCTGTTGGGTCTTGAGAACTTCATGATGGTGCAGGGCCTGAGCTTAGTCCACAAAAGCCAAGTTTAAGGAAACATCTCAATCATACTGAGTGAGAGACCAGCCAGCCTGTGCTGTTATATACCCTGGGAAATTCCTCACATCCTCCCATTTCATCTGGGTTATGTGTTTCTATCTCGTGCCCTACCAATAGCTCCTCATCCCCTTTGTGCCCAGGATTTCATTCAGCATTTGCTTGGCTTAAAAATGATAATGATTTTGAAGAAGCAAAACATCTCAATAACAAAAAATAAACTGGTTGGATAATTTCAACTTGGCCATAGCCAACATGGTGCTCTCCAGATGTTGTGGATTACAGCAATCATCTTCTTTGACCATTGGCTGGCTGGGGCTGATGAGAGGTGGGGTCCAACAACTGCTAGATGCTACCAGGTTGACTTAAGCAGCTAAGTAATGTCATGATAGGGACGCGGGTGGCGCTGTGGGTTAAACCACAGAGCCTAGTACTTGCCGATCAGAAGGTCGGCGGTTCGAATCCCCGCGACGGAGTGAGCTCCCGTTGCTCGGTCCCTGCTCCTGCCAACCTAGCAGTTTGAAAGCACTTCAAAGTGCCAGTGGATAAATAGGTACCGCTCCGGCGGGAAGGTAAACGGCGTTTCTGTGTGCTGCTCTGGTTTGCCAGAAGAGGCTTAGTCATGCTGGCCACATGACCCAGAAGCTGTATGCCGGCTCCCTCAGCCAGTAAAGCGAGATGAGCACCGCAACCCCAGAGTCGGCCACAACTGGACCTAATGGTCAGGGGTCCCTTTACCTTTATTAATGTCATGATGTAATGAAGGGATGTCTATCTTCCTGACTACATTACCATCCAGTACAATGGTGATGAGTACCGTATTTTTCGCCCTATAGGACGCATTTTTTCCTCTCTAAAAATGAAGGGAAATGTGTGTGCGTCCTATGGGGCGAATGCAGGCTTTCGCTGAAGCCTGGAGAGCGAGAGGGGTCAGTGCACACCGGTGCACTACAGCGCCGCGCTCCCCGGGCTTCGGATAGCAGCAAGCTCCGGGAGCCCCAGCCCCGGAGGCTAAAAGCTCCCGGACCCCCAGCCCTGAGGCTAAAAACGAAGCCAAGACAGCTAGTGGGATCCATCCCACTCGCTGTCATGGCTTCTTTGCTCTTTGGGGCTCGGGGGGGGGGAATAATTCCCCCCTTTATATCCCCCCCCAAATAAGTGCGCCCTATGGGCCGGTGCGCCCTATAGGACAAAAAATACGGTATTTTACCCCACCCCTCGCATAGAAGAAACCACTACCACGAATATGTTGCTCTGCACAGTGATAGGAGGTGAAGGAACCCCCATAGTATATGAAAACATGACGGAGTTAGAAATTCTCACCCTGGGAGACACAAAGTTTAGTGGGAAACATGTCAGTTCCCCATCATTTTCATACAGGGGAGTGATTAACTAATGATAAATTTATATAGAGCAGAGAGCATAACCAAATCCAAGTAGTTTTCCAGTGTAGTTGTTAGAATTTCTAGGAAAACGTTTCCTAATACGTGAACCATGCTACAATATACCCCACACTGGGAATTTAAGAACAAAGCCCCAGTAAATATGTCAGCACAGCCTAGGACATGATGGATGTGCCAGCACTGGCAAAAAACCAAGCATCCTACACATATGTAGATCTTATATAAAGTCTTGGCAAATTCGGCCTCCAATCTGAATTTTTCTTTTTTCAAAAAGAAAAGGGCAAAATGTTTATCCCCTGTCTTATTAACAATAGCACATATCACTTTGGACATAGATGTTAACATGTAACTGAGTTTTAGGTAAACATTCCAAGAGCTTTGAAATATTTAATTTGTTGTCAGAATTCTGAAATTTGTGTGGCTGTAGGAGCATTTAAGTTGCATTATCTGTCGTATCACCTCATCATTAGGATAGGCACTCAATCACACTAAATAGTTAGTGGGTGCTTTGCTTTGTCTGTTCAGATGTCTCACATCTGCTTTTTCAGGTTTGTGTGGCTCGTTCTCAGCTGAGAAAACAAATACTTATCAGTGCTCTTACCTGCCCTTCAATTTGTGGTTCAGCTCTCTGTATTATTCACACAACTCATAAACAGAGTTGATGTTTCACATTTGAGGGTGCTAAACTGTGGTGAAGTTAGAATTCTTTTTTCATTACATTATTATCCTGCTTTTTCTCCAAGGAGATGAACGTAGTGCGTGTACTTCTTTTCCTTTGTTTTATCCTCACAACAACCTTAGGTTAGACTGAGAGATAGCCCAGTGTCACCCAGTGAGGTTTATAGGTGAGAATGGATTTCAACCTGGGACTCCCCAAGCAGACATATTCTCAAGTTCTGGCACACTCCCAAAGCAGACTTTCTTCATCTGTGGTGGGAATGTTCAAAACATCACTGGAAAAACCACGGTGGGACTATAATATCCTTGATTTGGGGATGTATTTTAAAGTTTTGGTTCCCTGGCAATCCTGCTAAATGTCATAGAGTTCACAAAGGTCCTTTAACTAATGTGGTGGTGGCAGCACAAACTGTATGAGCCAGAGAGCAGAGATTCCATTGCTTACTGTGTGTTTAAGAAAACGCTTTGTGTATTGTAACAGTGTGAGGAAAAGAGCAATGCCTCTTCATGCCCTTCTGTCCATGCCCCTGGTATCTGTGCATCTGTGCTTCACAATCAAGATATAAGATGGAAGCCCCTGTGCACTTAGTATGATGATACGAGGGTCTGTTTACAGTGGTACCTCGGGTTACATACGCTTCAGGTTACAGTCTCTGCTAACCCAGAAATAGTGCTTCAGGTTAAGAACTTTGCTTCAGGATGAGAACAGAAATTGTGCTCTGGTGGCACGGCAGCAGCAGGAGGCCCCATTAGCTAAAGTGGTGCTTCAGGTTAAGAACAGTTTCAGGTTAAGTATGGACCTCTGGATCGAATTAAGTACTTAACCCGAGGTACCACTGTATTTCTTACTTTTGTAACATTTATACCCTGCCTTCTGTCATGGAACCCACAGGGATATACATGTGTTTCCCTGGTGGTCTCCCATCTGAACTGGTTAGGCTCATGCCTGCTTAGCTTTGGCAAGGTGGTGACCTCCTGTCAGGGGCACCAACTATAGAGGGCTCTGGGTGCCCAAGCATCCACAAAAAATTGTTGCGGGTGCTCACCAGAGAGCCCCTGACACAACTTCCAGTGCCTCACGAAGCACCAGAAGTCAAGTCTGAAGTTTTGCGAGGTTCCAAGGCCAGGGCACGGGCATAAACTGGGGCCCAGGTCGGCTCCCCTGCCTCTTGTTCCTTCATACCATTTGCTTCTTTCAGCTAAACAGATAGGTGCTGCTGGGGGTGTAGCTAGATGGATGCGCTGATGTTGGGAGTGTGGCTGGCTGGCATAGTCTCATTTTACTCTCAGATTCTGGGGAGAAGTAAGAGGAGGTTGTCCAAAGAGGGCCTTATGATTGCCCACATCTCTTGGTTTGCGTGGAATACCTGGCTTATGTGATAAGTTACTTGTGTGGTACATAACAGCAGTTTGGATCATGCAATTCCTGTGCCAGCTGCTTGACTGTATCAACCTGCTAACAACTCTATGAATCAGGATTTATTACATTTCTCAGTAAACTGCAGATTTTTTTTTAACCGCTATAATTAAAAGACAAGCAATGAAGGTAAAGAAATTGGGAATATCTAAACACATGCTTCTCAAGGATTTCAAATATGCACAACAGGCCCAAATACACTCTCTAGATTTGAAAGTTCAAATCTTTTTGCTATTTGTAAGGGTTTTTTTGGTTTGGTTTTGATATTTCAACTATTGGCAAGCCAGAAGGTAGAGCTTAAGACCTTGAAATTTAGGAATCTGCTCCGAATGTCAAAATATTAGAAAATGGCTATAAATCTCATGCGAGAAAAATGAGGGGGGAACTCCAGCCAATTTTCAGCTATGCCATGCAGTGGTAACTGAACTAAATACAGCTTAGCTGTCTTTTCCATTTACTTGCTTGCTTCTGCTTAATTCTTTATGTTGGCATCACAGGTTGGATTGGCATCTTGAGGAAAATGAGAGGGGGGATTCAAATGGAAAAGTGACAACTAAACTACTGCAACCTGAATAATTTCATTGCTGGCTTTGCCTCAGATGAGCAAGTAGCAAATATGAGCACAATTTCTTCCTAAAAATGAATACAGTCTCCAAAGACACTAAACTTTCCTTTAAGTATCTTCACCTAACATGGTTTAAAAATAACCAACATAAATTTGTTTCACTAAGGTTATCTGCTTTAATTCTCTAGAGCCGATTCTCCTCCAAAATCGTCAGACAAGCAGCTGTCATCGAAAGAGATGCCCTCAGAGTCAGAAAAAAACACTGGTGATCCTGAAGACCTCTTTGATGATATCTGACCAATCTGGAAGAAGACTAAGACCTCACTACATGCTGTTTATCTCCAATTAATTATTTGTCTCAAAAAGAATATTTTTATCTAGAAGCGGAGGGGGGGTATTTGTTCTTTCGGAGAACATTTTTAAGAATGGTTTTATCTTTTTCTAATAAAGTTTTTGTGTGTGATCCCCCTAGTGGTCATCATTTGTCACTCAAGATTTCGAAGCTGGGTTTGTCTACAGTTGATTTGTGTGAGGGAAGCTGATCTTCCCTTGGGGGTTAGGGAGAAAAATTAACCAGACCACCAAAGTGGCAGCAATAAAAACAGTGAGGGGAGATTAAGACTGCAATCCCTGCAGAAAGGTGTCTTTTAAAGTCTATAACTTTTTCATAGATAGCAAAAAGATATTTCCCAAATTCAAGGCTGACAAATATTTGTGTCATTCTGCTATGGAATCCAATGTCCTCTCTGTCTCTCCTTGGTCACCACTTTTTTAAAAAGTCCCAGGGTGAAGGCTGATCATCCTTAGCTCCAGTTATGCAGTGGTCTAAGCTGCTACATCTTGCTCAAGCCTACACCATTGTTTCATATTTTTATTGATGCAAACCACTTTGGGACCTACTGGCAAAAGGCGGTAAACAAAAGTCTCAAATAATAAACAGAAGGGAGCATAGAACAAAACCAAATAACTTCAGCCTCCCAGTATACCTCTCACATGTATCACTTCTTATTGCGGAAGTTATTCCAGAGGGCAAGTTTTTATATGACAATGCCTTCAGGGGCAAAGAAAGTCACTTGTGAAAGAGAGCAAGAGAAGGTAGTACAGATGAATAGGTAGATGTTTCTGCAGGCACTGCCAAAAAACACAGAAGAAACGGGACATTATTATTTTTTTACTACAAAACATGCTTCTGGAAAACAGTGTCCGTTTCAGCTTTAATTGATGCTAGTTGCTACTGGAGCAGATGGTGCAGGTCAACTCTGGGAAGAAGAAAGAGAAATGCCAAAATTAGCAAGATTATAGTTGCTATATGGAACTCCCATTTTAGCAGTCACACATTTATGATTCTCAATTCTTTTGGACCCACCGGGGTTTCTGATCTAAGTTTGTTTTGGATGGGCATCTACTAACCTTTGCTCAGAGTAGACCTATTGAAATTGTTGGCCATGGCTAATTTAGAGAACATTAATTTCACAGAGTCTACTGAAAATAAAAGTTAGTTGAATACAACCCTTTGGTTTTTTTTCAGTTCGACATTTGCTGCCACATTTTATAGCACTGCAAATTCAACAATAGTTCAGCTTGCTTAACGCATACAGGACTAAACAAAGAAGAAGAAGAAACAAAAAAAATTGAAAATAGGACACTGAATCCGTTATGGAAATAAGAAATATGGATGAAAAATGCTACTCTTTCTATAAACAGTGTGCAAAGCTGAAAAGGGATAAGAAGGATTAGAGTGTATGTTATGAAAAGATAGGTAGATTGTAACCAGGTGCTCCCTACTGTAGATGCTTTCCAATGTATAACCATATTTAATTAGGAAATAATGGGAAAACACACTTTTACTTTTTACTCATACTCTTTGGGCTTGTGTTGGCTGCAACTCCATACGTTTGCCCATCCTGGAATCTCAAATGGGTTGGATCTTGAGGAAATTAGTCATAGATTATAGTTGTGACTAACTTCCTCTGCATCCAACTCAACTTTTTCCTTGGGATTGTAGCCATACCTTCTTTTAAAAAATGCTTTATGTGTAAACATCTGCTCAGCTATATACAGTTTTCATGACTTTTTATCAATGCCTCTGCCGTTAAATGCGAAATGTACAGGGATTATATGCATCATCTTCAAACCATTAAAAACTATTTTTTATAGCCAGTGGTGGAGAGTTTGACTTTGGGCTAGAAAATTATGGGTTTGTTTTAGTGCCAAAGCAAAATGCACTTCCATGGATTTGTAATCCCATTCACAGGATATGAAAATGAAGTGGGGAGAGATATTTTTCAAGATTACTTTTGTCAGCAACAATGAGGGCAGGTTTCAGTTTTTGTTGTTTCTTGTACTGACCAGCCACCATTTCCTCTCCCAAAATGGCCCAGCAAAGGCAGTAGTAAAATTCCCAATCATTATGAGGAAGAAAATGGTTCCCACTATCTGACCACAATGAGGAGCTCCGACACGACTAATAGAAAGAAGCAAAAATGAACTAAACACAAAAGAATCTGCCACCAGTATGGCCAGAAAAGTTCTGTATCTGAAAATCCTGGGGATTTTTTTTCTATCCCTCTCACTGAAATCAGCCCCTTGTTTGGGGTACTCTCTTCTTCTTCTTCTTCTTCTTCTTCTTCTTTTCTTCTTCTTCTTCTTCTTCTTCTTCTTCTTTGCCCATCCCAACCTTTGAGTCAAGATTTCTCAGCACAGAACATTTGGCTTGGGCCAGTCTTTCCCAATCTGGTGTCCTTCAGATATTTTGGACCAGTGGCTGAGCTGATGTTCTTCTGGGTGGGGCTGGTAGTCCAGAACATCTGGAGGACACCAGGTTGGCGAAGGTTGACCTCACTTAAGTTCCATCTCCACTCTGCCATGAAGTTCACTTGAAACATTCCCTTCCCTTTTCCACTTTCTGCCTGACCTATTTTATGGGCGAAGTGCTCCTTGAAAGAAAGGTAAGGAAACAAATGTGACAAATTCCAAATCTGTCTCTTGATGCAAAATATTCATGTGGTTTTGATTCTTACGTTGTCACCCTCAGCTTATTGTTCCTTCCTTCTTGGCATACAGAACAGGACACAATAAATTTAACAGCATATATAAAAGGCCAAATGCAAATTAAAACCACTCAGATGTGCCAAATTGGGTGTATACGGGCTAAAATTATGCATGCAGGTTTATTATAGATAAGTAAAATCAAATGTTGTGCATTCAGTCTTACACCCAAACTTACCATCATTTTCAAAGAAATCCGGTTGATGCAATAAGCCAAAATATAAAGGAAATGATTAGAAACTAGTTTACCTTTTGAGTGGATCCTGTTTATTTTATACACTTAAGAGGTGTAAGAGTCCTCTGTGTGGTCAACCCAATAGTTGTCTATTTGTTCTCTCTCTCTCTCTTTCTCTCTCTCTCTCTCTCTCTCTCTCTCTCTCTCTCACACACACACACACACACACACACACACTTTAGTGCATGTCCCTCTTTGATATATTGTCTCACTGATTTCAGCAATTTCCAAGTTACTTGGGGTCTTGTTGCTTTTTTTCAACTAGTGGAGGACATTCCATAGGGCTACTTATCCTAGTATAAAGCACTTCTGCAAAGTGCCCCAGTACACAAAATGATGTCAAGTCATTTTTATGCTATTTAATTAAAGAGCAGCTGAAAGTCCCATAGTTTCTGCATATGGTTCTGATTACTCCGGCTGAGCATGAATCCTGTATTGGATCAAAGCTTTTTTGCCCTTGTATTTCCCTCTAGCCTTGTGTTTCCATTCTCCCCACCCCCCACCCCGCTAAGCTTATACAATGTTCTCTTTCATTTAACAAGACGATTAAAGTGTAGTTTTAAATATTAGTTTTATTTTAACAGTAACCTGGAGGTACTACTCAACAGGGCAAAGGTAACTCTAAAAAAATTATGTCTGGTTCGTGAAAGCAGTCATTTTGGAAGACCGATGCAGGAGGATGGAAAATAATCTGCAAATGATTGCAGTCAGTTTTCTTGAGATTTGCTCAGCACTGGAAAGGAACTGCATGAAAACAAACCCTGCTCACTCTAATTCTGCTCACAAGAAGTCTCTTGAAAAGAAAGAAGACAGCTAGCTTTGGCTGGAACAGTGAGGAAGATCAGCTGTTTGGGGATATTGTTATTGCCTCGCTGGAACAAGGGGGAAAGGTCTGTGACGTGTGTTTGAGAGAGTGAGATGGAACAGATCGGTTTTATTAAGTCATCTTGTACATCCGGTTGCTGATGCTTTCAGGAGAACTGCAGTACACAGATGCTTACATGTGGTTATATTCCCAGATATCTGCACCAATCCAGAGAGCTTTAGCTACCCAGCAGCTTGAGTGAGATAGTGTATACTAATCATACTAATACCAGTATACAAGTGTGTACTAATCATGCAGTATCAAATGCTCATTTTTCAAACCCCGAATTTTATAATTTAGCTTTTTAAAAGAAGGTTATTGGGGACATGATTTAGCTAAAATTGTTGGTGGAGGGGTTACATTTCATGAAGGGGTCTCAACTCCTTTTCTCCATCGTTTGAGCACTGCTCTGAAGAGAGACCTGGCTTGGACTGCTCTGAGCACTGTGCATGTCTGACTGCCCTTCAGTCTGGCTGTTGTGGTATGCACTTCTCTCCGTGATGATCCCTGCTTATTTCCTATTGCTAGACCTGGAAAAGAAATCATTCTGCTAGGCATCTGCGGCCACAATGCTTATGTGCCCCAAAGACTTACTTTGAGACAAAGCTCAGCCCTCAATCCTGTTTTCATGCTCGGGAGCTCAACTCTCAAATATGTGAATTAAAATGGGATTTTAATGATGCAAGGGATCCTTTTGAGCACATGCAGAACGGCTTCCCTTCATCGCCACGCAGCCCCAAGTAGCTGTTTCACTTCTAAGATTGGGAAAGAGGTCTTCTGGCCTAAACAGCCTGGCTTCCAGGAACTGGGGCCTCTAGGTTTTGAGAAATAAAGCACTGGGTATTTGGTGATGACGGCTGTGGGTTGCCTAGCAACATCAACAGAGTGATTCCCCTTTCCCTCTGACCCTGCAAAATGAACACTCAGGGCTGGCAGACAGCAGAACACATGTGGGATGGATATCCAGGGCCTGGATATGTTGAAAAAGGTGAAGGTGTGTTCCAATCTTGTTCCTAAACTTTGTAGCTTTCTATGTAAGAGTTCTGATAGGTTGGGCCACGAATCATGAAGTCTAGAGATCCCAAGAATGCATATGCAAGAGATTTTAGGCTTTCTAGTTTTTCCTCAACTGGTGTGGGTGTCTCGGAGGAGTTTGTTTATAAAACTCAGATCCGTAATGGAAATTGCTTTCAAAGGTATCCTTAAGTTTGTACAGAGACCTGGAAGTCACCATGCTTCCGGCAATGTAATGTGGTTCCAGACAAGGAGTGCAGCTGCCATCTTTAAGCTGAGCAACATTTATGATAAGCTAATCAGGGGTGATTTATGGAAATAATTGCCGAGAAAGAAAAATCACCTCTTCTTTCCTTACACTTGTTGGGCACTGGAAATCCCTGGAAAATTGGCAGTCTTCCCAATAATGAATCAGGTTAAGTGTGTTCCTTCTTCCCATTTGACTTTGGGAAGGCATCAGTCAAGGTGAGAGTGATTCTGATTTATGAGGGCAACTCAGCAATGAGATGCAATGTAAGCTGCTTTCTTTTACACTTGATCTTGACACATGGTTCGCCTGCAGAGCTGCGGATAGCAGTGTGTCACTGTTGCATTTCCACCCTTTTCATTGAGCTATAGGCAGATATGAAACAGCAACCTTTCTGCTGCCAGAACCTTTCCTGTTGCAATATAATGCAGTGTTTCCCAACCTTTTTTGGGCAAAGGCACACTTGTTTCATGAAAAAAATCTCGAGGCACACCACCATTACAGCCCCGTGACGTCAGCGCGCAGCGTCACGCCGGGAGGGACGCACGAAAGTGTAAGTTTCAATTTTTTCCCCTCCCCCTTGCCTTCCTTCTGTGCCAACCGCCAAAAAGCCAAGAAAAAAGCCAAGACTTTAGGGCAGCAGGTCGACACGGAAGAAGCTCCTACCTAAGGACAGGTGCGACGGCCGTGTCCTCTTCTGCCACACTTGGCAGCCCTGCCTCACGGTCGTGACTCCCACCCTGATTTCTCCCCGCAGGTCGAGCGGCACAGGCAGCCCAATGTGTCCAGCCCAGACACAAGCCCTGCTTCCCCACTCTAGATCCTGAATGCGACCAAGTGCTCTGGACTCCCGAGCAGGGTGGGAAAGAGGACTCGCATCTGGTAGCCTCCGGGCTCCTCGCCTGCTCGAGGGATGGCATTGCAGGCAAGCTGCCGGCCGTCGCCATCGCCGCCCCCTCATGCGAGTGGACCTGCCCGGAGTGGTGGGCCGGGGGAGGCTCGCTCTCTGTGGGGATGTGGCCCGCACGCGCGGCCCCGCTTCCTCCTGCCCAGGGCTGAGCTCCTTACCCGCGATCTCGGTCTCGCGCACGCGGATCCCACTTATTCTGAAGCTCGCGCCACTAGCCGGGGCTCTCACACCGTGCCAGGGCGAGGCGGCGCGGCCCACTGACGTCATCACGGCTCGCCGCCGCCCTCGACTTCCCTGTTCCCTCCCCTCCCTCGGGTCGCCGTGGTTACTGAGGACTGCAAGCTGCTCGGGCGAGCGTGGGGCATTAAGTGGGAGAAGGAAAATTAAAATTAAAACTCGTCTGAAGGCCGCCTCTCCGGATATCTTTCGAATTTTTTAATTTTTCCCGCGGCACACCAGGCAACGTCTCGCGGCACACTAGTGTGCCGCGGAACACTGGTTGGGAAACACTGATATAATGAAACAAAACACAGAGTGATGGAATAGGCTGACAAAGGGCTGAATAGAAGTAAATGTTGCCCTGGCAGCTTCACTGCAGAATAGCATCTCCATTAGAGTTAGTAGAAAGACACACACTCCCTTCAAACAGTCATGGCTTCCCCCAAAGATTTCTGGGAACTGCAGTTTGTTAACGGTGCTGAGAGTTGTTAAGAGACCCCTATTCTCCTCCCAAAGCTACAGTGCCCAGAATGGTTTAACAATTGATCCATCTTCACAGGGAACTCTGGAAATTGTAGCTCTGCCCCGAATCTTCCAACATGCAGCTTCATGGATGTT